GGATACTCTAATACAGTGGTTCTCAACCTTCCTAATGCATGATACATTTTCACTGTTATCAGAGGGGTCATGACCCACAGGTTGAGAACCGCTGCTCTAATAACCAAGCTGGAGCCCAGTGAGCTGACAAATCAAAACCATTTAAGGGGGCCTGTTGTGGGTTAAACTGTGTTCCTGATGTGATCTTACTGCAAGTTGGGTCTTTGTTGATGTAATCAAGTTAGGATGAGGCCACACTGGATTAGGGTAGCCCCCAAGTCTAAAGACCCTGTCCTTATAAGGAAAGGGAGCACTGAAGACGTGCATGTGAGGGAACATGGCCACATGAAGACAGAGGCAGAGACTGGAGCGATGTATCTGGAAGCCAAGGAACACCAAGGATTGCTGGTAACCCCCACTGGCTAGGAAAAGGCAAGGAGGAATTCTCACATGGAGCCTTCAGAAGAAGCATGACCCTGCTGACACTTGGATTTCAGACTTCCTAGGCTCTAAAACATGAGAGAATAAATTTCTTTAAGTGAAAACAACACAAAGGTTGCTTTCAAGGGTCCACGCTGTACACCATCTCACGCTTCCCTTTAAAGGAGGGCAGCTTGTAAACACAAAGAGCACACGGTTACCGTCTACAGGAGCCCTATGCTGCCAAGGAGGTGAAAAGCACGAATCGTGGTGTTTCAAAATAGTTACTGGAGGAAGTCCTTCGGTGTCAACATACAATACAAGCATTGAAAGTAGAAGAAAAGTTTTAGAGTATTAAAGTTGGATTATGGTATTAGATTTGGAAGACATAAAAGTACTTTGGATTCGGGGAGGAAATGCATTCACTGCTGAGAAAGTAGGAATCGACCGTGAATGGCTTTGTAGCAGTGTTTTTCAAACTTGTTTGAGCTGGGGAAAACTTTGGGTGAAATCCTGTCAGGTGCAAAGGAAACAAAAAGATTGCTGCTGTAGCAGAGGGGCGGGGTAGAGACCAAAGTCCTCTGGCTTTCCTTCCTTGGAGAAAGCCCCTACTCTGGGGAGCTCAGTTGGAGAACCACTTGCTTCAGGGTGGACACAAGGCTGTCCACCGGAAGAGGGTGGGATACAATTTCTGCCAAGTGTTGCTAACTTTTTTTCCCCCTGTTTCTTTTTTTCTTCTTTAATGAAAAGGGGAGACTAAGTTTCTTCACTTTTAAATGATTTTTTTCTAGCAGGCAAGAGAAGTCCCGCCTATGTGGACCAGGAGCTTGTATGTTTGTTAAAGTTAAGGTCTTATGGTTTAGAGCCCCTGTACACAATGAAAGAGTTAATATTGGACAGGACTTGCCCTCCCCAGCGGTTCAACTACACTTAGTTTCTGGAAAATAACTGTAGCATCCTGCTCACTGATGTAAATGGAAAAGTACCAGCCACTGCTTTGATGTCACCAGGGCGCTGCCTTCTGTTCTGAGCTTTTCAAAATCCAAAGGTGGAACACAGATAAGCAGGCTAACAGTGGGCACTTTTAAGGTCCGGAGAGCTTGGGCTGATCAATACATATCCGTA